CTCCACCCAGCGGCTGACACACCTGCACCTAATTTGCCACCCAGCTGTCACTAATCATCCTTCGTCGTGGGCTGAGGCATTTAACTGTGTGTCCAGACGGCAGTCGACGCTGGATTGTACTTGAAGCTCGGTAGTTAAAAGTGTTTGTTACTTGCAACTTAGCTTTAGCCGGCTAGCCTTCTCACCTGTTGTTGTCGCTTGTTTATAGGAGGAAGAGACAGAGGCAGGAGGTTGGAGAGGAGGAGCCCGTGGAATTAAGCTCTCGGAGGAGGACACGCACTCGGATAATCACTTTGGAAACTCACCTGCGCACCACTGGAAGTTTGGAGAGGATCACTGTTGGATTTTGCACTTCGCTTTGTGTTTTGAGACTGTTTTTGGGCACTGTAAATAAACGCACTGTGTGCTTCGCATCCAGAGCTCCGTGACTGAGTCCGTATTTTCCCATTACCCGTGACAGAACAATCCAGCCAGCAATGGACTCAGCGGACTCAACTCCTGTCCAGCGCGAGCTCGCGCTTCAAGCTGTACGGTTGGAACAACATGAAAAGATGCTGCAGCATGTGGCCGAGGAGCAGTCCGTGCTACTACAGGTGGTATCTGAACTGAAAGGTATGTTGCTTGCTACACCTAGAGCACCCGTTCAATCACCAGAGCCCCCTACACAACCACAGCCACTAGTAGAGCTTCTAAATGTTGGTACACACATTACCTGTACCTGAAAAATTCAGTGGAGATTTGGACTAAAGCCGGGGATTTTTGACTCAATGCTCTCTAATTTTTAGGCCGCAGACTCGAGCTTATGCCTCTGATATTGCCAAAATCACCCTCATGGTTGAGCTCATGACCGGACGAGCTCTGCTGTGGGCTCAAGCAGTCCTGAGCGCCCAGCCCTCCATCTCATATAGTGATTTTTTTGAGCAAATTTCGGTGTGTGTTTGACAAAGGATCTAACCCTGACAGCGCTGCTCATCGCATGTTTACTTTAAAGCAGGGCCGGTGGAGCGTGGCAGACTTTTTGGCCAACCGTGGCTCAGGGGGTTGGGAAGCATATCTGTAACCGGAAGGTCA